ATATGTAAGGGAGGCTGTGGCTCAGTGGATTGTGCGTTGGTGTTCGGATCAGAGGAGCACAGGTTCAAACCCCACTGCAGTCAGCATGTCGTTGTTGACACGTCACCCCAAATTACTCCAGTGGGGATTGCCCACAGTATTGAGTATGTAAGTCGCTTTGGATAAAAGCGTCTAACAAGTGACATGTATGTCATTTGTAAATGTAAAACACCATCCACAAATGCATTTAAAAGATTTGCAAACTCACAAATACATTTACAAATGTAAAACGGATCTGCGAATATACCCCAAATATTTTTACTAGGGCCGGGACTTTAACGCGTTAATTAAGATTAATTAATTACACAAAAATTAACGCGTTAAAAAAATTAACGCATTTTAATCGCACTTATTTTTGCACCGCGGAACGTTTCTCACTGGATGAGTTTCAGGCGTACCGATTGGCAGACTGGAGCACCAACTAACGTTCATGACTTCAGACAACAACAAACCACAGTGAACAACAGTGGGAAATGTTGTTTTAAAAAACGGACGGATGGAAGCGTCGATAAGAGCACGGTTGTGTGCAAATTATGCAAAAAGGAATTCGCATATCACCGCAGCACATCAAGCCTCAAGTATCACCTCAATGCAAAAACATATAGCAGCTAGCGTGGAAGCTAGCGTGGACGTTAGCCTCTTTTATCGCGTTCACACCAAAAAGAGCTGGTACTAAAATTAGTTCATGAGAACCTTTTTACCCCCACGAAAGTCCCTGCTAGAGAGCAGAGAGCTGCTAGAGAGCAGGGACTTTCGTACGGCTCTCTTGTGAGAAAAGAACTATATGTCTGATTGGCTGGGCGGATTGCAAACCACGCCCCGTAAAACTCCCAAAAAGTTTTGTGAAGCCGCCATTTTATTATCCTCGCATTAGCATTATTAGCATTAGCCCAGCGCAGAAATGCAGAGAGACTAATTTATGGCAACACAAAATAAAACATGGGAGCGGTGGAGATGAGGAGGTGTCGGCGTTCTGGCGATTTACTCGGAAGGCTTCAGTAGAAGCTGCTGGGACTCCCAGCAGCTTCTGGCACGGCCTGGCCTGGCCTGGCCTGGCCTGGCACGGCCTGGCACGGCCTGGCCTGGCACGGCCTGGCCTGGCCTGGCCTGGCCTGGCCTGGCCTGGCCTGGCCTGGCACGGCCTGGCCTGGCACGGCCTGGCCTGGCACGGCCTGGCCTGGCACGGCCTGGCCTGGCACGGCCTGGCCTGGCACGGCCTGGCCTGGCACGGCCTGGCCTGGCACGGCCTGGCCCTGGCCTGGCCTGGCACGGCCTGGCCTGGCACGGCCTGGCACGGCCTGGCACGGCCTGGCACGGCCTGGCCTGGCACGGCCTGGCCTGGCCTGGCACTGGCCTGGCCTGGCACGGCCTGGCCTGGCCTGGCCTGGCCTGGCACGGCCTGGCACGGCCTGGCACGGCCTGGCCTGGCACGGCCTGGCCTGGCCTGGCACGGCCTGGCCTGGCCTGGCACGGCCTGGCACGGCACCTGTGAGGTGGGATGGATTATCTCGGCAAAGGAGAAGTGCTCACTATCACAGTTTTTTTCAGATTTGTGAACAATATTTGAGAGAAATGGTTATTTTGTGTTTATAGAAAATGTTTTAGATCTTTGAGTTCATCTCATGATAAATGGGACCAAAAACAAAAGTGTTGCGTTTATATTTTTGTTCAGTGTAGTATATATATATTGCAATAGTATATTATAACAAATAGACATTTCAATGGAATCGTGGTTAAAACGTAGCAATACTACAGCAGGGAACGTGGACAACGGAGAAATAAAGAAAGCTAAAATGGAGTCAAAATGCCGTCAATATCAGGAGGCGTATGCTTTGATGGGATTCACGTCCACAAACGGCAACCCACCCCAGGCATTGTATTTTTCCTGTGGGGAAAAACTAGCCAACAGCTCAATGAAACCAGCGCACCTCCAGAGACAACTCAGCACCAAACACCTGTGTCACGGGTAAGCCACCGGAGTTTTTCAAAAGAAAACTTGCTGAGTACAGATCCTCCCAAGAGATTATGCGAAAAGCCTCCACAACATCAGCCAAAGCGCTGGAGGCATCGTATGCGGTATCATTGCTCATCGCTAAAGCCAAAAAGCCGTTCACGATCGCTGAGGACCTGTTACTCCCAGCTGCTGTTGTTTTGGCCGAGACGATGCTGGACAGAAGTGCCGCGGAGAAGTTAAAAACGGTGCCTCTTTGAAATGACACCGTTTCACGCAGAATAGAACGAATGGGAGCAGATATTGTTGAACAAGTTGTGGGAAAACTTGGCGAAGCATTTTCACTCCAGCTGGATGAATCGACCGATTTCAGCGGTAAGGCTCAGCTCATTGCTTTCGTGAGATACGTGGATACTGACGACATTTATGAAAATGTGCTTTTCTGCAAGGCCTTAGAGGGGAAAACAACGGGGGAGGACATTTTTAATGTTGTGAATGATTTCTTTATTGAAAACGAGCTGGACACTGGAGAAACTGCATGAGTGTACTGACGGAGCTGCCTCAATGACGGGCCGATTTAAAGGGTTCATGGCACGTATTAGGGATAGAAATCCAGAAGTGCAGTGGAATCACTGTGTCATACACAGGGAAGCACTGGCGGCCAAAAAGCTGAGTCCTGTGTTGCAAGACTTTTTGAACAACAGCATCAAAGTGATTAACTTCATCAAGTCAAGGCCACTCAATGCGCGTCTGTTTCACCGCCTTTGCGAGGACATCGATGAACACACCCAACTACTGCTACACACAGAAGTGCGCTGGCTCTCTCGAGGGAGGATACTGAGCGGGCTGTTGGAGCTACGATCGGAGGTGCACACCTTTCTGTCAGAGCAAGGATCTCCCTATGCCACACTGTTTGAGGACACAGATTGGCTTGCAAAGCTTTGCTATCTGGCAGACATATTCAGCAAATTGAATGAGCTGAATGTGTGCATGCAGGGCAAGAACACCAACATTCTGAACCTGTATGACCAGGTGGGTGGTTTCGTAAAGAAAGCAGAGTTGTGGAAACGGGCATGTGCACCTGCTTTCCTCAGGTAGATGCTTTCCTCTCCAGTGAGGATGTGCAAAGCGCTCCAGTCAAGTCCATTATAGAGGAACACTTGGCCAACCTGATAGTTAGTTTCAAGTCGTACTTTCCTGACTTGGAGGAGAAACCTGCACAGCTTGATTGGGTAAGAAACCCATTTCTTCTGTCAGAAGCAAACAGAGAAAAGCTTCCTCTCTGTCACCAGGAAAAACTCTTGGATGTGTCATCTGACCGCAGCCTAAAGATGACATTTGAAAACTCCACTCTCACGCAGTTTTGGGTGTGTGTGAAAAAGGAGCATCCTGAGCTGGGAAAAACAGCTTTGGAGCAGCTACTGCCCTTTGGATCCACATATTTGTGTGAAGCCTCCTTCTCTGCAATGACTGATCAAAACAAAGCAGAGAAACAGACTGGGCCTGGAAAAGAGTCTGATCACTGCTGTGTCCTCTCTGCCACCAAGGTCCTCAGTGAAGGACAAGCACACGTTTCACACTCAATTGAGTGCTCTTAATATTACTTGTTAGTGTTATTGCAATTTATAATTTATTTATTATTACAATTGTTTGTTTTTTTTGTCAATGTTTTGACACTAAATTGTGTGTTCTATTTTAAAATGCAGTTTAATGCACCTACAACTCATTAATAGTGTCATTGCAGTGTTATTACGTAGTTTTTTTGTAATTGCACATTTGTGTTACAATGTTTTGTTTTGTTTTTAACCCTTTCATGCATTGTGACTGCTTATTTAATGCTGTTTTCTTGTTTATGCATGGGGTTTTGGATGGTAGCACATCAGGCACCACATTTTATTATAATATTTGTGTATTGTATTTTATAGTTTTTGAATAATATAACATTTTGTTCATTGGTTCGTTAAACATATAATTATTACTTAAAAATCTGTTTTACATTTTTTTCGTTATGTTCTTTGTTTGTTGTAATTCATGGATGAAGGAGTTCATAAATCACACACTGATGGAACATCACTATATTGTAATTATTTATATAGGCTTTTTCTATCAAACATGTTCGGGGTCGGTCAGGGGGTACTTGGCTGAGAAAATGTTTCAAAGGGGGTACATTACTGAAAAAAGTTTGAGAAGCACTGCTCTAGCCTACGGAGCGCTTCGTATTTACGTGATACGCACTGTTTGGTTGCGTTGCTCCAGCAGCCTGCTAGAAAATTAGCTTACAAGCTAACTCAGCTGAAAAGGATCCAGACACTTTACTTTTACATTTTTTGGAGATCACCGTCGGAGATTAAATAAAGAGAACCATGGCCAGATAAATAAGATGAAGCTGTTGCTTTAGCCCCCAGTAATGTTACATTAGTAAGTTAACAAGTACATTATAGCTGATGTAATTTAATAATATTATTTCATATTTAAAATAAGTCTTAATTTTTCTGTACTAATAAAACAATATGTGTTTTAAATGAACAAAAGCATGTTGTATAGATTGATTGTTAACAATATTAGTGTTCTAATCTTAATAGCTGTGATTATAACAGTTTATATTCTCCTTCTTCCCCTAACCCAGCCCAGATGATGTCCCACTGACCCCAGGTCAGCACCTCCAGGTCCAGCAGCACCGCTCTGCTGAAATACACAATTAAACATCTTTCTATGACCTATTTTTTGTATTAATAAAATTAAGCTGAAGACAGTTGAATGACCTAGAGATATCCTATTATTCCACTGCTTATGTACACATGTTGGAAATAATGGTTACTTCCTCAGTAAATGAAATAAACAATGTGTTTAACAATTACAATTTAATATTGTTTTTTCATCTTATCACAAAGTAGAGGTAAGAATATATCCATCCTCTCTCTGCAGCTTCATGTCTTCTATTATTATAACTTTCATCATTAAGACAGAGGAAATCAATCATGTACTTTAACATCACCAGCAGTAACACAAATATCAGCAAAAGTGTGTTTATTTGTATTATATGTGCAGCAAGTATATAGAAGCAGCTGTTTGGGGAATCAGACAGACTCAAGCTATAATCGTTAAATATCTATTAAAAGAAAGGACACATACAAAATCAAATTCTGAAACTAAGACACAAGTCTGTAGGACGGCAGTAAGCAGAGATCTGGGTGGAGGATGTTCCTGATCGCCGTTTTGCTTTCTCCAGCACCTCGGGGGGTCCAGGTGGATGCAGCTCTGTCCTGATGATCCTCTGGGGTTAGGGGTCCTTCTCCAGCACCTCGGGGGGTCCAGGTGGATGCAGCTCTGTCCTGATGATCCTCTGGGGTTAGGGGTCCTTCTCCAGCACCTTGGGGGGTCCAGGTGGATGCAGCTCTGTCCTGATGATCCTCTGGGGTTAGGGGTCCTTCTCCAGCACCTCGGGGGGTCCAGGTGGATGGCAGCTCTGTCCTGATGATCCGCTGGGGTTATGGGTCCTTCTCCAGCACCTCGGGGGGTCCAGCTGGATGGCAGCTCTGTCCTGAGGATCCGCTGTGCACTTTTCAGATTAGGGGTCCTTCTCTAGCACCTCGGGGGTCCAGGTGGATGCAGCTCTGTCCTGATGATCCACTGTGCACTTTTCAGATTAGGGGTCCTTCTCCAGCAGATACATTTTTCCAGAATTGTCCTAATTACAGAGAAAAAAGTGAATTAATCATATTAAACACAGGGTTGCAAAACTATTATTGCAAAATGTAACTAAGCATTTCAGACAAACAATTCTTAAGGGATCATTTAAAATGATGTACTGTTCTGGTTTCTAAAAAACTAAAGAGATGAAATGACAGTCACACGTGCATCCCTTAGACAGCACAAACTAACATCAAGCAAAAGGCTGCTGTCTATTTGTGATTGTCTTATTATTATGGGATTAGGATAAATTAAATAGACTTTAACCTAAATAAAAGATGATCAAATCTGGTGGAAATATTTAAAATAGGCTTTTCTTTTAGCTCTACCTCAAAGCAGCATGAGCTGAATAAAAAGGTTGTAATTTTGTCCCAAAGTTTAATAAACAGTAAAACATTGGAACATGTCAGAAAAATAAATAAAGCTAACAGCAGCTACACGTCAGGGTAGCATTTTATAAATCCCACCGTACTGTAGAATATACCGGTCTAAATGTTTTCACTTTGGTCTATTTATGTAATATAAAGTATAACTTATCTATAACAGAGCCAAGATCTCTGTATGACTTTAGTAAACTTCTGAATTGAATAAAAAAGAAGTGTAAACAACAGTGCAGTACGTCCAGCTATAGCTGGACATATTTATCCGTATTATTTAACGAAAATGTACGTTTTAATGCCCCTTGGGTTTGACGTGTGTGTCGTCAGTTAATTTAAAGTAAGTTAAAACCCAATACTCACATTTATTAGTGATTCCTCCGCTCGCTGCTGCTTTTAAATCCACTCTGCTGGGGAGACCGGAAGCCATTTCATTTGAAAAAAACTCCCTCTTCCCTGCGCGCATTGCACCCTGGGATATGGTAGGCCGCGGAGTGTACATCAGATGTATCCTTCAAATTGGGGAAAAGTAGGATGCATTCGTGGGCCGCATTCGGAGGAGTCTCGTCTTTTAAAAAAAATTGGGACAGCCTTCTTTCGGCGGAAGTGACGTGTGCGGTCTACGAATGCACCCTTCGAAGTATGCAACCCCTGAATAGGCTACATGCACTAGGGTCTGAGACGTACTTCCGCCTTAGCCGTTATACTGCTCGGACGCTTCCGGGTTGCTTCTGGTCTGCGTAGCTGAGCGTCCACAAATGTTTTACTGTTTAAATCTGTGGTTTAAATATGAGTCGACGGAAGATTTTCAAAACGGAGCATTTGCAAAGACAAGTAAAGAACTACTCCGAGCACTGCTGTGTCCCACTTTGTACGGCGTCAGCTAAATTCAACGGCGTCCTAAGTTTCCATGGCTTTCCGACCGAACTCGAGCTGCGAAGACTGGTTAAAATAGGACGCGATAACTTTACAATCTCCTCTCACTCCAAGGTCTGCAGTCGTCACTTCGCTACGGATCAACTAATAGAGCCAAAACCCCTTGATGGCCGTAGGAGGCTTGTGAAAGGTGCTGTCCCAACTCTGTTTGAGTGGAATCACTTCACTGCTCAAACACCGCGGGCTAGTGTTTGGGAGAGAAGGGAGCGGCCCACTGAACCAGTCTCTCGGGAGGAGCAGGAAGAGCACATCGATGTCCGTGACCATGATTACTGCTCAACCCCTGAACCAGCTTCACTGGACATGTCCTCTCAAGCTACAGAAGACAACTCCAAAACATTGGAGGATCTGCAGAAGCAACTGCAGGAGTTAAGAGTCCAGCGAGAGTTTTGCTTACAGCGGTTTGCTGGCTCCGACGACAACATCCGATTCTATACCAGGTAATGTTTTGGCTAAATTCTATCCAAGTTTTTGAGATGGGTTAGCTTATAAAGAATCCTGTTTACCTGCCGTTTGACTGCTGACTATTTGAATGCAGTGTTGGAATAAGTAGGCTACTCAACTTAACTGAAGTATAAGTACAAATACTATGGTTTGAAAATACTCCTGAACTGAACATGTAGAATCATAAATCATGTGTTTTCATAAGTAACTAGAAACTATGAAGGTTAACTAAATGTGGTGGAGTAAAACATACTAATACTAACAACATACTGATAATACTTTACTACAAGTGGAAATCTTCAAAACCTTACCAAAGTAAAAGTACATGTCAATATCCACTGCGTTTCTCCCAGTTGCACACTTAAGAATGAAGAGTAAAAGTAGTCATTCTGTGTAAAATGTTCCCTGTATGTTTTAGATTATTATTACTGCTGCTTTAATGTAGTTGTTACATGTTACTGCTGTATATTACTATACCTGCACCAAGTGCCTTCTTAATCAGTCTATTTGAATTGTAATGTATTCTAGCAAACAAGAGGAAAGCATTAGCCCATGTGTTACAGTTAACGAGTCAATTAATGACTGACATGTGTCTTTTGTGTACAGATTCCCGAGCTATAACCACCTGATGGCCTTCTGGTTTTTGATTGAGCCTTCCATTTATAAAATGGTTCGTGTTACAAGAGCGATATCAGCTGCCAAGAGGAATGAAGAAGTGGTTACACACGCACGTCCATCAACGGTAGGCTACGTTTCTTTTAACACACAATCTAAACAGAAAATGTTTCTCCAACATTTCATTGCTTTCGTGTAGGCTAAAAGGCTATAGTACTCAATCCTTTTTGAATACATCAGAGAACTAAAACAACTTAATGTTTTTCCCATGGTGTGCTACACTCATGACATTAATATAGTACCCTTTTTTTGTTTATCTTCCAGAGACAGCTGCTTCAGCCAATTGACGAGTTCTTCCTTTTTCTCTGCTTCCTGTCGGTGGGTTTGAAAGAGAGGGACCTTGCAAACCGCTTCAACGTACACCAGTCCACTGTGAGCCGCATCATTGCAACATGGACGAGTTTTCTTACAACTTTATTGGGGTCACAGTGCATCTGGCTTACACCTGCAGAAGTTCAAGCCCACCTCCCAGAGGCATTCAAAGATTTCCCAGACACACAGGTGATCCTGGGACACCTCAGCTCTGTGCAATCACAGAGCTGAGGTGTCAAACACCATCCTCACTCCTCCTC